GAAACAGGAATTCAAAAAAAAAAACGAAAAGAGGCTTAGGAACCTCCAGGACATCTTTAAACGTTCCAACATCCAAATTATAGGGGTACCAGAAGGAGAAGAGGAAGAGCAACAAGTGGAAAACTTATTTGAACAAATCATAAAAGAGAACTTCCCCAATCTGGCAAAGGAAATAGACTTCCAGGAAGTCCAGGAAGCTGAGAGAGTCCCAAAGAAGTTGGACCCAAGGAGGAACACACCAAGGCACATCATAATTACATTAGCCAAGATTAAAATGAAGGCAAGATTCCTAGAAGCAGCAAGAGATAAGGAGACAGTAACCTACAAAGGAGTTCCCATCAGACTGTCAGCTGATTTCTCTAAATAGACTTTACAGGCAAGAAGGGGATGGAAAGAAGTATTTCAAGTCATGAGAGGCAAGGACTTACATCCCAGATTGCTCTATCCAGCAAAGCTTTCATTTAGAATGGAAGGGCAGATAAAGTGCTTCTCAGATAAGGTCAAGTTCAAGGAGTTCATCATCACCAAGCCCTTATTTTATGAAATGTTAAAGGGACTTATCTAAGAAAAAGAAGATAAAAAACATGTACAGTAAAATGACAGCAAACTCACAATTATTAACAACCATACCTAAAACAAAAACAAAAAGAAACTAAGCAAACAACTACAACAGGAACAGAACCACAGAAATGGAGATCACATGGAGACATAGCAATAGGGGAGTGGGAGGAGGAGAGAGGGGGAAAAGGTACAGAGAATAAGTAGCATGGATGGTAGGTAGAAAATAGACAGGGGGAGGGCAAGAATAGTATGGGAAATGTAGAAGCTAAAGAACTTATGACACATGGACATGAACTAAAGGTGGGGAATGTGGGTGGGAGAGGGTGTGCAGGGTGGAGGGGAATGAAGGGGGAAAATGGGACAACTGTAATAGCATAATCAATAACATATGTTTAAAAATGCAAAAAAAAATAAAAAAGGTACATACTATATGATTACAAGTACATGACATTCTGGAAAAGCAAAACTATGGAGACAATAAGATTATCAGTGGTTGCTAGGGGTTAGAAAAGAGGGACAGATGAGTAGGAATAACACAGAGGATTTTTAAAAAAATTATATATATTTTTTTTTTAGAGAAAAGGGGAGGGAGGGAGATAGAGAGAGAAATGTCGATTGGTTGCTTCTTGCACACCCCCAGTCTGGGACCAAACTCAAAGCCCAGGCAAGTGCCCTGACTGGGAATTGAACTGGTGACCCTTCTCTTTGTGGAACAACGCCCAACAGAGCCACACAGGTCAGAGTAGAGCACAGAGGATTTTTAAAGTAGTAAAAGAATTCTCTGCTACTATAATGGTATCATGGATAGTTATACACATGTCCAAACCCATAGAATACACAACATTGCTAGTAAGCCCTAACGTAAACTGTGGACTTTGAGCGGTAATGATGCGTCACTGTACATAGGTATATCAATTGTAACAAATGTACACTCTTTTTTTTTTACATTATTTTACTATTTTTTTTTAAGATTTTATTTATTTATATTTAGAGAGGGAAGGGAGAGAGAAAGAGAGAGAGAAACATCAATGTGCAGTTGCTGGGGGCCATGGCCTGCAAACTAGGCATGTGCCCTGACTAGGAATCGAACCTGCAACACTTTGGTTCGCAGCCCACACTCAATCCACTGAGCTACGCCAGCCAGGCACAAATGTACACTCTTGTGAGGAATGATGATAAGGAGGAAGCTATGCATGGGTTGGGGCAGGAAGTATATGGGAGATCTCTGTATCTTCCTCTCAATCTTCCTGTGAACCTAAAACTGCTCTAAAAAATAAAGTCTTAAAAAAAAAGAAAAAGATGCTGCCCTGGCCAGGTGGATCAGTTGGTTGGAGCGTCACTGTGTGCACCAAAAGGCTGTGGGTTTGAACCCCAATCGGGGCACGTGTGGGAGGCAGGGAAGCAGCCAACTGATGTCTGTCTGTCTGTCTCTCTCTGTCTCCATTTTCCTCTCTCTCAGAAATCAGTAAATATATTCTTGGGTGAGGATTAAAATAGATAGCAGTTAGATAGGTAGGTAGATAGATGGATAGATAGGATAGATAAAATCAATAGAGGCATATCCTTGAGTGAGGCCAAAAAAAAAAAAAGATGTGAAGACGGTAACCTAGGCAGACGTGGCTCACCTCTTCGCACAACCACATCAAAATTACAACTAATATATAGAACCATCACTCAGAACCGTCAGAAATCGAGCTGAATGGAAGTCTGACAAGTACAGCATTGAAGAAACCACATCCATCCAGACTGGTAGGAGGGGTGTGGATGTGGAATGGGCTGGCCCCACACCCACGTGGATAAAAATTCAGGATCAATATCTTGGGAAAGAGGAGTCCCAGCCCCACACCAGGTCCTCCTCCACCCCCTGCCACACAGGATTCCAATGCCAGGAGGGTATGTCCCCACAACTTCCAGTTGCGAAAACCAGCAGGGATTGAGTTGGTGGAGGAGGCTCCTGGAGCCTTAAGCAGTTCCTCCTGGGGAATCCACACACCAAATCACCTACTCAGACTCGCTCGTTCTGAGCTCCCGCTCTGGGGTGGCAGCTTGAAAGGCACCAGTGGCATACAGGGAGAGATTGAATTGTCTAGCATCAGGGTGAGGAGAGGCCATTGTCCCTTTGCTGAGCCCCACCCCACCCCTAGAGCTGGTAGGCTGGTACCATATCTGAGACTCCTGGCTAACACTCTGTGACCCACCTGGAGATCCACAGGGGCTCTACCCAAACCACTTACAGGCCCACCCAAGCTGCTTTTCCAAAAGAATGGCTGGGCTGGGCTCCTAAATCCTATTAAACAAACAACACCTAGCTTCCGTGAGCCCTAGCTGCAGCCTAATTAGAATCACAACTTGGCTTCACCTGGGAATCTCCAAGCTCAGCACACGTAGCAGCCATCTCAGATTGCTTTACAGCTCAGGCAAGGCGCCACAGACAAAACACAGGTGGGGCTGGCCTTGGCCTGCACCACCCAGGAAACTCCAGGGCCAATGCACACAGTCGACAGCTACAGACCACTCAGAGCACCATCACCCTGCTCCTGCAGCTGATCCTCCTCAGAGGGCAGAGGTTGGTGGTCAGTGGTCACAGCCAGTCCTTGCAACTAACTGGCCTGGGTAAATCCCTCCCATTGATTTGCCAACAGCAACCAAGGCTCCATTACAAGAGGAGGGTGTACTCAGCCCACATGGAGGGCGCACCTCGAGTACCCAGCTTGGGTGATAGAGAAGGCTGTGCCACTGGACCCTACAGGACACCTACTATATTAAGACACACTACCAAGACATGGAGTCAAAGCAGCTCTACCCAGTACATAGACGCAAACACAAGGAGGCTGCCAAAATGAGACAAAGAAACATGGTCCAAATGAAAGAACAGATCAAAATTCCAGAAAAAGAGCTAAATGAAATTGAAATAAGCAATCTATCAGATGCAGAGTTCAAAACACTGTTTATAAGGATGTTCAAGGAACTTAGTGAGGACCTCAGCAGCATAAAAAAGACCCAGCCAGAGACAAAGGATACCCTAAATTGAAATAAAGAACAATTTGCAGGGAAACAACAGTAAAATGGATGAAGCCAAGAATGAAATCAATGATTTGGAACTAAAGGAAGCAAAAAACAACTGCAGAACAACAAAAAGAAAAAATCCAAAAAAAATGAGGATAGTGTATATAGCCTCTGGGACAACTTTAAGATGTCCAACATTCATCTCATGGGGATGCCAGAAGGAAAAGAGAAAGAGCAAGAAATTGGACATCTATCTGAAAAAATAGTGAAAGAAAACTTCCCTAATTTGGGAAGGAAATAGACATGCAAGTCCAGGAAGCACAGAGAGTCCCAATTATGATGGATGCAAAGAGGCCCACTCCAAGACACATCATTATTAAAAGGCCAAAAGTTAAAGATAAAGAGAGAATCTTAAAGCAGCAAGAGAAAATAAGTTAGTTACTAGCCCTGGCTGGTGTGGCTCAGTGGATTGAGGGCCAGGCTGCAAACTAAAGGGTCACTGGTTCGATTCCCAGTCAGGTCTGGGTTGCGGGCCAGGTTCCCCAGTGCGGGAAGCAAGACAGGCAACCACACATTGATGTTTTTCTCCTTTTCTTTCTCCCTCCCTTTCTCTCTGTCTAAAAATAAATAAATATCTTTTAAAAAAGTTAGTTACCAGAAGCCAGGTAGGAGGGGGCAGGGGAAGAATGTGTGAAGAGGTGAGAGGATTAAGAAGTACCAATAGGTAGTTACAGAATAGCCATGGGGAAGTACAGTACAGTATAGGAAATAGAGTAGCCAAAGAATTTATACTCATGACCCATGGAAATGAACAATGGTGAGGGGACTGCCTAAGGGAGTGCTGGGTGCTAGGTAGAGGTGGGAAAAGTGGGAAAAATTGGGACTATTGCCCTGGCTGGTATGGCTCAGTGGACTGAGCGCCAGCCTGCAAACCAAAGAGTCTTTGCTTCAATTCCCAGTCAGGGCACATGCCTGGGTTGCAGGCCAGGTCCCCAGTTGGGGACGCACAAGAGGCAACTACACATTGATGTTTCTCTCCCTTTCTCCTTCCCTTCTCCTTTCTCTAAAAATAAATAAATAAAAATATATATTTTTAAGCCCTGACTAGTGTAGCTCAGTAGATTGAGCGCGGGCCTGCGAACCAAAGGATGGTGGTTCAATTCCCAGTCAGGGCACATGCCTGGGTTGTGGGCCAGTTCCCAGTGGGGGATGCACGAGAGGCAACCATACATTGATATTTCTCTCCCTCTCTCCTTCCCTTCCTCTCTAAAGATAAATAAATAAAAAATTTAAAAAATATATTTTTTAAAAAGAAGATGCTATTTCAACTCTCTCTTTCCCACAGAATGGACTCTTATCCTTTTGCATTTGCTTTGGGAGCAGGTGTTTGGTGTGGGACAGGGAAAACAGAAAGACACAGCTCCTCTGCTCACCGTTTGGCTTCCTCCAGCCGGCACAGGTACTGATAGGCAACGTTCTGCCGCCTCTGCTCGTCCATCTCCTCAGCTGTGAGGCGTTCATCTGAGGAGTGAAGGGGCATAAGGTCAACGAAGGGAGCATTAAATAGAGGGCCACAGCAGTGCAGCCTCTTGGTGTACCGGCTGATGCTCCAACCAACTGAGCCACCCAGCCAGGTGAAGTTCTTAACAGACTTTCTTAGGCAACTCTGCTCAGATGGCAGAAGCATCTCCCATATATCTGTTTCCCTCTTCCCAAGACACCCTGGCTCCAGTCTTCTGCTCCCATCCAATAAAGCTAGCCTGGTCAGCACCCTGCTCAAGAGTGGCCTTTGAACCCTTTAACAGGAGTTTCCTTCCTGTACCAAAGGCATTCCTTCCCATTCCTCTTCAGGCATCTTCCTGACTGCCTCCCCTCAAATGTACTTCATGGACCTCCCTCCATGCAGTGATATCCCAGCAGCGATATCCAGATCCCTCCCTGACTGGTAACTTAGCTCCTTATTTTACCCCTACTTAGACTCTGTCATCCTCCTCAAGTACTCTCCCTAGGCTAGGTTAACAGAATCCACTAGGATTCATTATTCAACAGCCATTCATTCACTCAAGGCCTCCTATGTCAGTCACTAGGCTAGCAAACACCTACTCTCAAGAAATAGAGATAATGATTAAAACAGAAAAACACTCCAAGATTATAACACATGAATAATCTATACAAGCAGCAGTAGATGCAAAGGATTCTACCTACGAATAGAATCTTAAAGAAAGAACAGGTGGAGCCCTGGCTGTTGTGGCTCAGTGGATTGAATGCCAGCCTGTGAACCAAAGGGTCACCGGTTCTATTCCCAGTCAGGGCACATGCCTAGGCTACAGGCCAGGTCCCAGGTAGGGGGTACGTGAGAGGCAAACACACATTGATGTTTCTCTCCATCTGTCTCCCTCCCTTCCCCTCTCTGTAAAAATAAATAAATAAAATCTGAAAAAGAAAGAACAGGTGGAAAGAGGAAGAAGGCAGTTCAATAAAGAGAACAACATGAAAAAGTCCACTCGGGATTAAGTAGAAGGACAAAGAATTTTATTTTATTTATTTTTAGAGAGAAGGAAAGGAGTGGAGAAAGAGAGAGAAATAAACATCGTTCAGCTGTTTCCTGTAGGTGCCCCAACAGGTGACTGAACTCGCAACCCAGGCATGTGCCCTGACTGCGATCTAACTGGTGATGTTTTTCCTTGTGAGCTAATGCTCAATCCACTGAGCCACACCAATCATGGCAGAAGGACAAAGAATTTTTAAAAATAACGAAAGTTGCCCTGGCTGGTGTGGCTCAGTGGACTGAGTGCTGGCCTGCCAACTGAAAAGGCACCAGTTTGATTCCCAGTCAGGGCACATGCCTGGGTTGTGGGCCAGGTCCCCAGTAGGGGGTATGTGAGAGGCAACCAATGGATGTTTCTATGGCATATCAATGTACCTCTCCTTTCTCCCTCTCTTACCCTCACTCTAAAAAATAAATAAATAAAATCTTTAAAAAAAAAAGGTATCTTTACCCTCCTTTGGTACAGGTCACTTGAGAAGGAAAATAATCTCCAGAATAAATAAAATGCAGACAATACTCTGACCCCCAAACTCAAGAACAGGGAATCCCTTAAATGAGACTGTATTCATAGTCTGCCTTAGCCACAGCCTCCCTTTATCCTTCTCCTTTTCCTTTCCCCCATCCTCCTGGTCTCCTTAGGGAAGGAATACAAAATTAGAACGAGAGAAAGCTACACACACACACACACACACACACCCCCCAAGAAAATAAATTCAGAGGGCTTGAAGAGACAGAGTTTAATCAATCTGTCTTGATTCAGCACCTAATGTCATTCCCACTCTTTATCTTACTTCTTTATATTGCACATCCTGCAATGATTTGGGAAGGGCAGGGCTTATTTGAATTGGCAGTTAAGCAAGATAAGACACACACACACACACACACACACACACACGCCCCCGTTCAGATTTGAAAGCACTGACCAACTGCACAAGATATATCAGTTCCTCCAATGAGGTACATAAGGAACAAGTGTTGGTTGCTAAGCATAGAAAATAAACCAGTAAGTGAATGATATCATCTCTGAGTTATGAGTTGAGGAGTACAAGAAATGGGCAGGGCTTTGTACATACCCACACAGTCTTAAAAAAAAAAAAAATCAGTCTTCCTGCCCTTCTCAGGTCTGGAACTAGCTTTTCTTCAAAAGACTGGTGGACACGGGCTTTGTTTTATGACTTCCAATGGATAGGAAGGAAATTTTGCCTTTTATTCAGAAGGTTTGATGGAAGACTTTCTTGCTGCCCCATCCTTCTTACCCCAGTCTCTATCTAAAGCAGTGTTTTTAAGTGTGGCTCGTGGACTAACTGCATCATAATTACCTGGGGTGAGGAAGAAGCATAGCAGGGCTCATTATACATGAAAATTATGAGCCCCAATCCAGACCGACTAGAGCTAAAACTCTGGGGGTAGGGTTTCAAGTTTCCATTTTAAAGAAGCTCCCCAGGTAATTCTGACACCCTAAAGTTTGACAGGCATTATCTCAAAGAGGCATCAAAAAGTCAAGGAGCCCCTGTGGGGGTCAAAAAAACAACTTCCCTCCTTCCTTCCTAAATTCTAGCTGGGCTAATAATCACATTAACACGAGACAGATTAACAGGAGAAATTTATTATGGGTGTACATGCAGGGGTGCCATAAAAATATGAGACCCAAGGAGACAGAGGCAGGGTCTGGGATTGCAAACAGAGATTAGATAAGTCACAGGTAAATGAGAAATAGCAAATATGTGGTAACAAATTCTTATTGGGTCACCCAAAAACAGGGTACACAGAGAGAAGTTCAACAAATAGGCTTTGCTGAATTTCTCCCTGCCTATCACATTTAGTTTCTATATTAAGCAAGGTTTTGGGTTTTTTTATTCCTTTAGGCGGGTAAGGACAGAGGGTCAAACGTTCTTCTGAATCTTGTGTTTCTTAGTGACTAGTTTAAAATCAATATCCCAAAAGACATACTTTGGGGTGGCAAAACTTTGGCTCCTCACCTCTCAGGTCTCTTTGGGCGTCCAGTACCCTGGTAGCGCTTAGCAAGCATGACAGCCATCAGTAGTTGCTGAATTTTACGGGGCTATCCAAACCACCTACATTCTCCCAGAATGTAGGAGCCCCACAATTTGAGAATAAGGGAGAAAACTCTTTGCAACCACAGAAGTCGCAGAAGTTTTGCTGGTCACAGCTTGACTCCGGATTCAAAGCTCCCTCCTTACTGAACATAGCCCCGCCAGCCCCTTCAGGGTAGGACCCACATCGCCCGCTTCCCAACCTCTCCCAAGCACCACCTAGCCCCCGATAAGGGGCACCACCGCCGGACCCCCCTCGGCCCCTTCTGACACTCACAGACCGCCCTGCCGGGGCCCGCTCCTCTCTCCTCCATGTTTCTCCTTTTGCAAGTTTGAATCTCCCGCCGCCAGCCACCGCCGCTCACTGACCAACACTTCCGGCATGTGCGCAGGGAACACTGGGATTTGTAGTTCTGGGCTGCGGCGGCCCACCGCCACTGCGTACGGCAAGGATACCGTCCCAGCTTGGGAGGGGCCCTCTCTTTCTGTACCCTAGGCTGCTGCACCTTCAGGGCTCCTTAGTTGTTAAAACGTCTTATTTCAAGTAGCCCCTGCCCTTGCCTTTATCATTTTCCCCTAGTATTCCCATTAACCTCAATGCGACCTGCTTGGATGATGTGGATACACAGATAAAGAAATACAGCTAGCCCTGGCTGGTGTGGCTCAGTGGATTGAGTGCTGGCCTGCTAACTGAGGGGTCACCGGCTAGATTCCCCGCTGGGGTTGCAGGTTGGGCCCCCAGGGGGGCGCTTGCTTGAGAGGCAACCACACATTGACGTTTTTGTCCCTCTTTCTCCCTTTCCTTCTCTAAGAATAAATAAACACAATCTTTTTTTTTTTTTTTTTTAAATACAGTTAAAGCCCTAAAGAAGCTTGCCGCTCTGGAATGAGTGATAAACATATAGTCAAATACGTTAGAGATCAGTGATACATAGCAGATAAGAGTCAACTGCTGTAATGAAGGACAGGAGGACTTTCTTGTGGAGGTGACAGTGGATCTGGGTTGAAAAGTTAACGAGAATTCAGCAGATTGAAGGAGAGGAATTGCAGTCAGTGAAACAGCATGTACAAAAGCAGGGAGGTGAGTTCAGGAAATTAAAATCAGTTCAGTTTCATAGGATAACAAAGCCCAACCAGAGAGAGGCAGGAAGTAAGCCTGGAGAGGCACAGGTCCAAATCCTGAAGGGTCTTTGGCACCGTGGTCTGAGGAGCAGTCACAGGTAAGTTGTCTAGAGCAGTCACTTTAGACATAGGTCAGAGACAGATTTATATTTTATAAAGATTCCTGTGGCAGCAGAGACTTGAAAGGGAGTGAGGCCAGGGACAGAGATCAATTGGGAGTTTATTGCAATAGCACAGGTGAGAGATAATAAGGGTCTGAACTAAGAAAAATAGTTATAATGACAACTATACTGAAAAATTATTGTTTGGTATATTACCTAATAGTCTTCCCCACCTGGTACTTCTCCTATTGCCCTTCTTCCCGTACCCCATTCAAGCAGCTAGGCAACCTAGGTTCATAGTCTCAGGGGAAAAATGTGAAGGGACAGAAAATAGAAAATATCCAAACCTTCAGAGAAACAAAGGAGACTCGGCTGAGACAAAGCCGTTTGGGAGATTTGGGGGTTGAAGAGAGAGGGTGTTCCTTGAGACTAGGAGGGATTCCTCTTGCCCCTTCCACCACCACCACCACTGGGGGAGGGTGGGGGGTAGGGATAATTTAGATGTTGGTGGCTCCTGGTGACAGAGATCCCACTCCTTGTTTCTTGGGAAGGACTGGAGGAGCACAGGTCCCTGAGAAGGAACAGTTGCATAACCAGCCAGGCAGCTACACCTTTAGAATGTTGTACAGAAATTGCCTAACCCAGCCAGAAAGATAGTACCTAGATGACTTACTCCCTCTTCTGGTTGGGATGAGGTTTCCTAAGCCTGAAACAGCCAGTGGATGAGAAGAAAGATGTCAGAGGAGAGAAAATACATGACCCAGGATAAGAGGGGCCTTCCTTCTTAAGTCTTAGCATCCCATACCTCCTCCACCTTGGACTACACCCTGGGAGAAAGGAGAAGGCAAACTAAACAGACTGTTTCTACCATCCCAAGGAATAGGTGCTTGAAGTTGAGATGTAACCTCAAATACATGATTTGCAGACCATTACATCAATATTCATTGAGTGTTTATTGTATCCTGGTACTATATTTAGCATCATCTCATAAGGACCATCTTATTTAATCTTCACAGTATAGATGAGGACACTGAGGCTTAGAAATGTCACACAACTAAAAACTGGTAGAGTCAAGATTCAAACTTAGTCCAATTCCAACCATGAGTTCTTAATCACTAGATACTATACCACTTCCAAGGCTATGGCCATGAGACTGCAGAAGACAGGGTACACCAGAAAGAGGTTTCATAAGTAGAACGAATAGGATTGAGAGCTGAAGGAGAGTGGGGGGGTCATGGGTGTTTACCAGGTTTCCAGCTTAGAGACTGGCTTGTTGGTTTACCAACTAAGACCAGGAACATATTGGGTTGGCCAAAAAGTGTTATATTTTTTCCATACGATGGCTCTAGTAGTGCTTAGTTGCCTTTAACTTATTCAAAACAACTTTATTAGATTGCATTGTAACTGCTGTCATATCAGCATACATTAAAAAAAAATCAAAATTGGTGAATTTTTGTGTAGCCATTTTAATATTGAAGATGGATTAACATTTTTGGTATATTATGCTTTATTATTTCAAGAGAGGTAAAAATGAAACTAAAATGCAAAAAAAGATTTGTGCAGTGTATGGAGAAGGTGCTGTAGCTGATCAAATGTATCAAAAGAAGTTTGCTAAGTTTCTTGGTACTATTGTAACAGAATGCAGCCAAGAGGGGGGCCCCAAATAGGGATTTGGAATGAGGTCCAGAACTCAAGATGTCCAGGAAATATTAGAAAGATATAAAGGATGTCCTCATCCGTTCCCCCACCCCCAGCAGATGTGAGTTGGGGGAAGGGGCATATGGAGCAGGAATATGCAGAGCTGTTTTGTACAGCAACAGCTTTGCAGCTAACCTCTGGTGTGATCATTTAACATATCTATAACCTTTAACTGGTTGCATAGATATGTTAAATAACTGTGGCCATGCTTTGAGCCAGGAGGATGGAAGTGACTTCCACCCAAGATGTAACTGGGGGACAGCTCCCCCTAGTTATAGTACCTGTGTGAGAGCTTAAAGAAGATTGGCTCCATGACATGGGACCATACCTGCCCAGACTCATGATGGCAGCCCAGTAAACTTGGAATACTACAGGAATGCCGGCAGGTGTAACAGATTGTAGGAAGAGTCGGAAATGGGGGTATAGAAGAAGGTTGGCACAAAAATTTAAACCCAGACATGGCAGCCATTGAGGAGAGGGAACCACGCAGCTTTTGGCAGAGTGGGGACCCCGCAGCCACGTGAGAGAGAACCACGCGGTTTTGGTCAGGGTGGAGACCTCCACAGCTTTGCGAGAGTAAGGACCACGTGGCTTTGGGGTGCTCCCTTTGGCCACGTGACCTAGGAAGCAGGAGAGACTTTGCCTGGAAGAAGGGTGCAAGGACTTTTGTTGGTGGGCCATGAGAAGGTGCCACATGGCTTTGGATTAACTGAAGATGCTGGTGGTGACACAGCTGATGGTGCCAGGAGCCTGGATCACGGACCTCTACTTTTCCTGAGATATGGTACCCCAGTTTAAGGCAGAGGAAGAAAGAAAGACTGTGTGCGTCTGTGGATATCCGAAAGGACTTTGATATTTTAATGAAGGCATTAGGTCACTACTTTAAGTCTGTATAGCTTTAAATAAACATTTCCTTTCCTTTTCAAAAATCTCTAGCATTGAGAGACGTCTTTCCTCCAGCAGCAGACAAGTGAACCTAGTGGGGGGTCCTTTCATTAATAGTATATCGAAAAAAAATAGTATATTGAGACTTCCAGCCAAGATGGAGGCATAGGTAGACACACTGTGCCTCCTCACAAAGCCAAAAGAAGAACAGCAACAATTTAGAAAAAAAATAACAACCAGATCTGACAAAAAATTGAACTGTATGGAAGTCCGACAACCAAGGAATTAAAATAGACACATTCATCCAGACTGGTAGGAAAGGTGGAGTCAAGCAGCCGGGCAGAGGGGGGTCGCAGCACAAAAAGTGGTGGCACTGGGCGCATAAGGCATACCGGGCACGTAAGACCACAGCAGGCAGACCCTGGACTCACAGGCCAGAGCTGGCAGACCTGGGGCCCAGTGTAGCAACGGGCAGACCGAGTGAGGCTGCGATTGTGAAGCAAGGCACTGCGTGCAAGGCGGCTGGCTGGCTGACCGGGAAGTCTTAGGGTCCCAGTGCCAGGTAATAGAGCCTCAGGGCACTGATTGAAAACACCTATCGAGGTTGAGGCACAAGGAGAGACTCCCAGCCTCACAGGAAAGTTCGTTGTAGAGACCCACAGGGTCCTAGAACATGCCCAAGCCCACCCACATGGGAATCAGCACCAGAAAGGCCCAATTTGCTTAGCAGAAGAAGCAGAAGGGACTGAAATCCAGCAGAGAGCAGAGCAATCACCATTGTTCCCTCTCAGACCCCATCCCCCACATACAGTGCCACAACCCAGCAAATGGGGTGCCCCGCCCTGGTGAACACCTAAGGCTCTGCCCCTCATATGTAACAGGTGTGACAAGACTAAAAAGAAAAATGGCTCAAACTGAAGAACAGATCAAAGCTCCACAGCAAATACAACTAAGCAACCAAGCGATAGCCAACCTATCAGATGCACAGTTCAAAGTACTGGTGATCAGGATGCTCACAGAATTGGTTGAATTTGGTTGCAAATTAGATGAAAAAATGAAGGCTATGCTAAGTGAAATGAAGGAAAATGCATAGGGAACCAATAGTGATGGGAAGGAAACTGGGACTCAAATCAATGGAGTGGACCAGGAGGAAGAAAGAAACAATCAAACAGAAAAGAATGAAGAAACAAGAATTCAAACAAACGAGGAGAGGCTTAGGAACCTCCAGGACATCTTTAAACGTTCCAACATCCAAATTATAGGGGTACCAGAAGGAGAAGAGGAAGAGCAACAAGTGGAAAACTTATTTGAACAAATCATAAAGGAGAACTTCCCCAATCTGGCAAAGGAAATAGACTTCCAGGAAGTCCAGGAAGCTGAGAGAGTCCCAAAGAAGTTGGACCCAAGGAGGAACACACCAAGGCACATCATAATTACATTAGCCAAGATTAAAATGAAGGCAAGATTCCTAGAAGCAGCAAGAGATAAGGAGACAGTAACCTACAAAGGAGTTCCCATCAGACTGTCAGCTGATTTCTCTAAATAGAC